TTCGGTCGGTCGGTCGGTCATGCGTACAAAATGGTTAAGTTATGTCTTCGTCGTTTTTTATTTGGCCTTCATAGAGTTTGTTTTTTACTTTTCCCAAAAAAAGAACTCTCAACGAAATTCCAGACATTTGTTAACGAATCGGGTCCCTTTTTGTGACTCCTGCAACATTCCTTTGCAGCTTGTTGCTTGCCATATTGTGTGGGGATGTATGTGTATGAATGTGCTTGTGGTCTAGGTGGCCCACAATTGTGTAACATTTGTAGTCCACGGAGAGGGGCGGAAGAGAGGAGAAGAGGTAGCTGATGAAGGAGTAAATTAACTTGGAACTTTCCATTGTGGGCCGCTTGCCAGGCAAGAAATACTTTAATATTTTTTAGTGGGAAAAGGAGAGCCTTTACCAAGAATAGGGAAGGCAAGCATTGAAGGGGGAGGGGAGTGCAGGGACAGAGGATGTCTATGAAAATCTATTGTCAAAGTTGCCCAAGTGAAACCGAAGGCATACTTAAATAATTATCTTTTGTGGCAACATTAACAAATTTCCCCAACACACCGCATAGTTTCACAGGATGTGCTCTGCTCCTCTCTCCCCACATCGTCACAAGCAACAACCTTGCCTAAGCCTTTTCTCTGTGGCCTTCCTTTCATTCTTCCTTTCCATTCGGTTTTTATTTGTTGCTCCTTTTATGCTTTGATTTTGTTTGGTTACGCGATGGCAAACAATGGAATTAGGCCATTTTTGTGTGTTCAATTATCATTAATTGTTCCACACAGAATGTGACGATACGATGCCCCTATCTGCTCGCTTCCCAGCTGCTGCTTTTGCTAAGACTTCCACATATAATAGCTACTCTTCCCAATAGGATTTTTCCCAGTCTTCCGTTTTTTCGTCATGCCATGTTGAGAATTTGGTTCTATGCCATCATGTCCTTGGTTAAGAGACAATGTTGTGGTGGATGGGTTCGGAGGAAAAACTCAGGGGAGTGGGGTTTGTTTTGAAAAAAAATCTCATCATCCTCAGCATCGATATGGGATATTGTGAGAGGGTATGTGTGTAGCTTTTTGTTAATTTTGTGTTCCAATTCTTTTGTTTACTGAGTTCCGATATTTTTTCCAAATAACTAAACATTTTATTGAAATTGATGGAAGAGGTAATCATTAGGGGGGAGAGATTTCTCCTATCGAATATTTTCATAGACTTTCTATAGTGAAGCCCAGTTGGCATACTAACAGATGATCAAACGAAATTCGAAAAAAAACATACAAATCGGTTCTTCATGGGAGAAGAAGAGAATCGACCTCTCATTAAATACCTGTAGGATTCTCATAGAAGACTAGAGAGTCTTCTTATGTAAGAGAAAGAAGGTTGTCCTACAGAAGAAGGCCTTCTCTTATAGAAAATCAGAAGGTCTTCTCTCATAGCAGAGCAGAAGGTCTTCTCTCGTAAGGGAACAAAAGGTCTTGGTATGGAAGGCCTGTTGGTCTTTTTAATATCTTCTTCTAGAGAATTTCCCGGTCTAATAATAGGAATAAGGAAGATAATATTACAGAAGAGGGGAAGGTATTCTTATAGAAGAGCTTAAGGTCTTCTCAGAGAAGAGCCCTGAAGGTCTTTCAAAAAGACCAAAAGATTTTCTTCTTAGAAGATCGGAAGGATTTCTCATAGAAGCCTTGAATGTCTTCTCATAAAAGCCCTAAAAATATTTTCATAAAATCCCTGAAAGTCCTTTTAAATAAGCCCTAATGGTCTTCTTTCAGAGAAGCCCTGAAGGCCTTTTCCTAGAAGACCAGAAGTCTTCTCCATAAAAACCCTGAAGATCTTCTCCATAGAAGACCAGAAGTCTTTTCTGTAGAAGACCCGAAGGGCTTCTCCATAGAAGACCAGAAAGTCATATCTAATAGAAAGCAGAATGTTTTCTCTTATTGGAGAGCAGAAGGTCTTCTCTCATGGGGAAGTAGATGGTCTTCTCTTATAGAAGCCCGAAAGGACTTCTCATAGAAAAGCTGAACGCCTTCTCATAGAAGCTTTGTAGGTTTTCCCATAGAAGCCCTGAAGTTATTCTCATAGAAGAGCTGAAGGTCTTCTTCTCATAGAAGAGCTGTAGGTCTTCTTCGCATAGAAGAGCTGTAGGTCTTCTTCGCATAGAAGAGCTGTAGGTCTTCTTCGCATAGAAGAGCTGTAGGTCTTCTTCGCATAGAAGAGCTGTAGGTCTTCTTCGCATAGAAGAGCTGTAGGTCTTCTTCGCCCTGAAGGTCTTCTCATAGAAGAGCTGAAGGTCTTCTCATAGAAGAGCTGAAGGTCTTCTCATAGAAGTGCTTAAAGGTCTTCTTCGCATAGAAGAGCTGAAGGTCTTCTTCGCATAGAAGAGCTGAAGGTCTTCTTCGCATAGAAGAGCTGAAGGTCTTCTTCGCATAGAAGAGCTGAAGGTCTTCTTCGCATAGAAGAGCTGAAGGTCTTCTTCGCATAGAAGAGCTGAAGGTCTTCTTCGCATAGAAGAGCTGAAGGTCTTCTTCGCATAGAAGAGCTGAAGGTCTTCTTCGCATAGAAGAGCTGAAGGTCTTCTTCGCATAGAAGAGCTGAAGGTCTTCTTCGCATAGAAGAGCTGAAGGTCTTCTCCATAGAAGAGCTGAAGGTCTTCTCCATAGGAGAGCTGAAGGTCTTCTCCATAGAAAAGCTGAAGGTCTTCTCCATAGAAAAGCTGAAGGTCGTCTCCATAGAAGAGCTGAAGGTCGTCTCATAGAAGAGCTTAAGGTCTTCTCATAGAAGTGCTTAAAGGAATTCTCATAGAAGTGCTTAAAGGTCATCTTCTCATTAAAGAGCTGAAGGTCTTCTCCTCATAGAAGAGCTGGAGGTCTTCTCCTCATTGAAGAGCTGGAGGTCTTCTCCTCATAGAAGAGCAGAAGGTCTTCTCCTTATAGAAGAGCTGAAGGTCTTCTCATAGAAGAAGCCCTGAAAGTCTTCTCATAGAAGAAGCCCTGAAAGTGTTCTCATAGAAGAAGCCCTGAAGGACTTCTCATAGAATAAGCCCTGAAGGTCTTCTCATAGAAGAAGCCCTGAAGGTCTTCTCATAGAAGAAGCCCTGAAGGTCTTCTCATAGAAGAAGCCCTGAAGGTCTTCTTATAGAAGAAGCCCTTAAGGTCTTCTTATAGAAGAAGCCCTGAAGGTCTTCGTATAGAAAAAGTCCTGAAGGTCTTCTCATAGAAGAAGCCCTGAAGGTCTTCTTATAAAAGAAGCCCTGAAGGTCTTTATATGGAAGAAGCCTTGAGGTCATCTTATAGAAGAAGCCCTGAAGGTCTTCTTATAGAAGACGCCCTGAAGGTCTTCTTATAGAAGACGCCCTGAAGGTCTTCTTATAGAAGAAGCCCTGAAGGTCTTTTCATAGAAGAAGCCCTGAAGGTTTTCTTTTAGAAGCCCTAAAGGTCTTCTCATTGAAGAAACCCTGAAGGTTTTCTTATAGAAGAAGAAGTGAAGGTCTTCGTATAGAAGAGCTTAAGGTCTTTTTATAGAAGAAGCCCTGAAGGTCTTCTTATATAGGGTGAGATAAAAAAAATGCAACAAATACTTGACATTTTTTAAAATTTTAATGAATCAAAGCAAAAAATGTCGGAAGTAGCATCAAATTTTAGAATAAGTTTAGATTTGTTCGAATTGGTCACCTTTGACACGAATTATGGCCTTCAAACGGACAATGAAACCGTCACAAGGCTGCCCGAATGTTGCTCTGCCGAAGTTTGGTCCATTCCCGGCGAAGCGCTTGCTTGTGGTGATCGGCACTTTCGTATTTTTTACTACCAACCTTGCTTTCCAAAATACTCCAGACACAATAGTCCAATGGATTGGTATCCGGAGATTTTGATGGCCATTGTGCGCTGGAAATGAAGCGAGGAACCTTATTTTGTAACCATTCTTTGGTGGAGCGTGCTTCTTCTCATAGAAGCCCTGTAGGTTTTCTTGTAGAAGCCATTAAGGTATTCTCATATAAGCCCTGAAGTTCTTCTCATAAAAGAAGCCCTGAAGGTCTTTTTATTGAAGAAGCCCTGATGGTCTTCTTATAGAAGAAGCCCTGAAGGTCTTCTCATAGAAGAAGCCCTGGAGGTCTTCTCATAGAAAAAGCCATGAAGGTCTTCTCATAGAAGAAGTCCTGAAGGTCTTCTTATAGGAGATGCCCTGATGGTCTTCTCGTAGAAAAAACCCTGAAGGTCATCTTATAAAAGAGAAGATTTTCTCATAGAAGCACTGAAGGGCTTCTAATAGACTACGAGAAGCTCTTTTTATAGAAGTCTTGAAAGTCTTCTCATAGAACCCCAGAAGTTTTTCTCATAGAAGCCCTTCTATGAAGGTCTTCTCATAGAAGTCCTGAAGGTCTTCTCGTAGAAGCCCTGAAGGTCTTCTTCATTGAAAACCATAAAGTCCTTTCGTAGAGCCTTGGAATTTTTTTTTAAAAAATCCACTTTAGCAGTGCTGGATATGGCCCTAGCCTTTAAGCCTTTTTTTAATTCTGCTGCTAATTTTCCATCCTTCAGGTATTTCTGAGAAATTGAGAAAACTACATTATAATGAAAATGTTCGACATCAGTATTCCGTTGCCATTGTTGTTATGTATTTCCCTTTGGGGTCAATTTCAAGTATCCAAATTGAATATCATGTCAAGGTTCAACGAAATTACAATAATAACAACCTCTTGTAATGACTGCCACGGGAGAGGGAGAGCCAAAAACAAAAATCTATTTACAAATTCTAAAATGAAAAATATCCTTTGTATCGAACTGGACCCATGAAAAAAAAGGAAAATTTACATAAAATTTGAAATCGAGGAAAAATGTTTTCATTGGAATCTGATGAGTGGGAAGTTTGAGGCTGATAGGGTCACTTGGGCTGTAATGATGGAAATTTACATAAAAAATGACCAGCTAATTTGAAATTCATCTTCGATGTAAATTTGTGTTGCTAACAATGTTTTCGTTTTCTCTTTTCTTTTCTTTTCTCTCCTCTCCTCTTCTAGGACAATCAGGAAGAACAAAACATGGAAGCAATGGTTGGCTGAAAAGTAATCAAATGAAAATCAATACAAACAACAAATCAATATAAGGGAAAAGGAGAAAACAAAGAGGAAAGCTACAACAGTCCAGGAGTAGAAAATATTCATATCGGCTGCCTATTTATCCTTCCGCCCCCTCTCATACAGCATCAAACATGTATGCCATTTGTCACAACCAGCAGCAGCCTTGTCTTTGTGTGACACAAAGTCTCCCCTTGAGTTGCCCACCAATCAACGCCTCCCTAAACAAATAAATTGCCATTGAGGACACAACATCCCGCCGCCCCAGATACAAATCACCATACAGCTCCCAGAGAGTCCTGGAGAGAGTGAGTGAGAGAGAGCAAATTAGCAACATCAGCAAACCGGGAAACCAAACAAAAACTTTGGTGGCCACCGACTTTGTCCCCATTTTTGGAAAATATTATGGAAGCATTTCATATAAAACCACAAACTCCCGTCGAGTCACCGCTAAGAACGGATAAACGGATACGGAAGAATTGTAGGACAAAAGAGAGGACGGTCCAGGGGTTATATGCCACGGCAGCGGCAGAGGAACTCTATAGCCAGAGTTGCAAGAAAAACGGCCTATATCAACATCACCTGCAGCAAAACCAAGGACATTACCAGAAATATCACCACAGAGGACAGCAACCACATCATCCACAGCCGCAGCAGCAGCAACAGCACTTAAGTCATGACCACTGGACGTGTATTATGATGACAATGCTGTTTGTTATATCAATTGTGCTAACGGGGAATTCAGGTAAGCCAGCAAGTCAGGGGAACTTTTTCCACTTGTTTACCCCCTTTTCCTCCCCCTTTCCCTACCCTCATATTTATATGTGGCCTCCACCATGGCCTTGTATGTTTTTCGTCCTTCCACCGGTATTTGCATTTCAAAGACCACGACGACGTAGCTTCATTCAATCAGTCACACGCCCCACATATTTCCCGGAATTCCCTGGCTGGTGTCAATTTAAATTAACTTCAAAGCCATGAAACCAAAAAGCCTACAAAATGGCAAACGAAAAAGAGGAAGAGAAGAGAAAAAGGCCATGACATGGCCCCGAGGCCGTAGGACAGCCAAAGGCAGGCAGGCAGAGAGAAAAAGAGAGTAATCTTATCTGTCAAGCATGGTGTCCGTTTACATTTTTTTCCAATCGGCTTCAAAGCGACTTTGACAAGTAGAGAAGGAGGAGCGGGAGAAGTAGTGAAGGCCAAAATGACAACAAGTCTCAGATGAAAGAAAGCAAACGCCTAGAAATGGCTTAAGAAAACTGCACTTATGTTTCTTCTATTTCTGCTGCTTCTCCTTCTTCTTCTTTTTTTCGTTTGGGCCAAAGGATTTCACACACACACACACACACACATTCGCAACTATTCTGACAAACTCACATTTAAAAGTCGTTTACGGTTACCGGTAAAAGCAAGGAAGCATAGCAATTTTACTTTTCTAAGCTCAGAGGAAAGCAAAACGGAACGGATGAAAATGATGTTTGCCTGGTTAGTCAGTTAGCGATGACTTGGATTTCAAATGGAAATGTCAAGGTGGGGGAGTGGGAGAGAAAAATCCAATGGGAGTGATGGAAATATTTAAATATTGTCTTACATTGACATTGCCCAGCGAAGTTTCTTTAAACAAATTATTTAAAGAGATTTTTTCTACACAGGACACCGGTGCGTATGATTATTGGCACAAAGTATACGTCATGGTGAACTGAAATCAGGTTAAAGTCGTGGTAATATTTATACAAAGTTCGTGTTATTAATGATGAGGATCCGTTGGAAATTTTGCACATTTTGATCCTTTGAAGCATTTCGTATGTCCTTTGAGAATTTTCTTTTATAATTCATGTTTATTTCCCTGAAAAAAAAAATCTTTAAAAATCAACGTTTATGTCCTTAAAAAATATCTTTAAAATTCCACGTTTATACCCTTGAAAAATATTCTTTAAAAATTCACGTTTATATCCTAGGAGGTCCTTGAATAAATATTCTTTAAATATTTATTCAAGGACCTCGTAGGACCTCTAAAAATATAAAGAATATTTATAAATATTCTTTATATTTTTAGAGGTCCTTCAGAAAATATTCTTTAAAAAAACCACATTTATATCCTTGGAGGTCCTTGAAAAAATAATCTTTAAAAATCCACGTTTGTATCCTCGGAGGTCCTTGAAAAAATATTCTTTAAAAATTCACGTTTGTATCCTAGGATGTCCTTTCAGAAGTATTCTCTAAAAATCCACGTGTATATCCTATAGGGGGTCCTTCAGAAGATATTCTTTAAGAATCCACGTTTATATCCTAGGAGGTCCTTAAAACATATTCTTTAAAAATCCACGTTTGTATCCTTGGGAGTCCTTGAAAACCAATTCTTTAAAATCCATGTTTATATGTCAGGAGGTTCTTGAAAAAATATTCTTTAAAAATCCACGTTTGTATCCTTGGAGGTCATTGAAAAAATATTCCCAAAAAATACACGTTTGTATCCTTGGGAGTCCTTGAAAACCAATTCTTTAAAATCCATGTTTATATGTCAGGAGGTTCTTGAAAAAATATTCTTTAAAAATCCACGTTTGTATCCTTGGAGGTCCTTAAAAAAATATTCCCAAAAAATACACGTTTGTATCCTTGGAGGTCCTTGAAAAAATATTCTTTAAAAATCCACGTTTGTATCCTTGGAGGTCCTTGAAAAAATATTCTTTAAAAATCCACGTTTTTATCCTTGGGAGTCCTTGAAAAAATATTCTTTAAAAATCCACGTTTGTATCCTTGGGAGTCCTTGAAAAAATATTCTTTAAAAATCCACGTTTGTATCCTGGGAGGTCCTTCAGAAAATATTCTTCTTATACCCTATTTTTTTTATATTCTTTTATACCCTAGGAGGTCTTTGAAAAAATATTTTTTAAAAATCCACTTTTATACCCTAGGAGATCTTTGAAAAAATATTCTTTAAAAATCCACTTTTATACCCTAGGAGGTCTTTGAAAAAAATATTCTTTAAAAATCCACGTTTGTATCCTAGGAGGTCCTTGAAAAAATATTCTTTAAAAATCCACGTTTGTATCCTTGGAGGTCCTTGATAAAATATTCTTTAAAAATCCAGGTTTCTCTTGGTCTTTGAAACAAAACATTCTTTAAAAAATCCACGTTTGTATCCTCGGAGGACCATGAAAAAATATTCTTTAAAAACTCTTATAAAATGTGATGTAAGAATCCGATTATCTTCAAATTACACAAATCACAATATTTTTATTAACCCAAGGTCTGGTGTGAAGACGGAATATATCGGTCCACTCCTTCTGATACCTCCCCCACAAAGGGTCAAAATTTTGATTACCCATGAAGCTTATAAAACGCGAAGTTAACATCCGATTCAGACTTGGTACATTTCAATATTTCCATCAGCACAAGATCTGTTATAAATATGGTAGATAGCGGATCATTCCTTCTGATACCTTCCTCATAAAGGATCAAAATTTTGAATACCCATGAAGCTCATAAAACGCGAAATTAACATCCGATTCCATTCAGACTTGGTACATCTCAATATTTCCATCAACACAAGATCTGTTATAAAGATGGTAGAGATCGGATCATTCCTTCTTGTACCTCCCCCACAAAGGGTCAACGTTTTGAATAACAAAAACCATCATAAAATTCGAAATAAGCATCTGGGTTTCTTTATATTTCACACATCTCTATATTTCAACTAAAAAGAGATCTGCTGTGAATATGGGATATATCGGTCTATTCCCACTGGTACGACAAAGGGTCAAAATTTTAAATCTTCATGAAACTCATAAAACGCGAAGACTAGCTACATTTCAAAATTCCCATCAACACAAGATCTGCTAGAAATATGGTAAAGATCGGACCATTTCTTCTGGTACCTTCCCCACATAGGGTTCAAAATTTTGAAAAATCAAACGCTCAAGGAAAGAGAATTGAGCAGCTCTGAGAATCTTTGCAGAAAATTTGGGTAAAAATCCACGTCTAATGCTCTGGGGCTCCTTGTAGAATAAGTCTTAAAAATGGCCAAGCTTACAGCGTTCAGGACAGACGAATTTTTTTTATAAATAAATCCTGGCTTCCAGGGTTCTTCGAGGAACTTTTTTTAAATAGTTTTAGGATTTGGTAAAAAAAAAACATTTTTTTTGCTTTGCGTGCCTTTATAACAAGAGTTTAGAAATCCACATCTATTGCTTTTTTGTTTTGCAGGGAAAGAGTTCAGGGAAAGGGGGTAAGAAACTCTAGGTTTTGCAGCACTGAGAATCTTTGTAGAAAATTTGAGAAAAAAACCTCGTTAATAACTCTTAAAGTCTTTGTAAAAAAAATCTTAAAAAAGTCCAGGTTTATGGCATTTAGGACGTTTGAAAATATTTTTTATAAAAAAATTCTCGCTTCTAGTTCTGAGGTTTTTCGAGGAACTTTTTCTAATGTCTAGTAATCCAGATTTACAATATTGGGGGAAAAGAAAAAACGTGGAAAATAGATTAGGTTTTGCAGGGAAAGAAGTTCAGTGGAAAAAGGGAGGTGGGGGGAACTTCAGGTTTTGCAGCTCTGAGAATATTTGCAGAAATTTTGAGGAAAAAATCCACGCTAATAGCTCTAAGCGTCCTTGTACAATCAATATTTTAAATGGCCACGTTTACAGCACTCAGGTACTTTGTAGAGGTTCTTCGAGGATTTTTTTGAGAAATTTTGTAAAAAATATGTTTTTTTTTTGCTTTACGGGTCTATATAACAAAAGCGTAGTAATCCACATCTATGGCTTTGAGGATCTATGTAGGGAAATTTTTTTTTAAAAAAATCCACATTTGTAGGTCCTAAGCCTCTGGGAGAAAATTAAGAGATTTCAGGGTCGTTGTAAAAAAAAAAAAATTCAAAATAAAGTTGTATACCTAAGAGGATCTAATTTTTGGGTCCTCGAGGCAGTCAAGAGGGGTTGTTGCAAAAAGTGTTTGATTTTTTTGCGTTGCTGATCCTTGGCTACCAACGACGGCCATTTATAATACAAGTTTGCGAACCACCATCCCTTCTCCCTCACACATATATCCCATAATGATAAAAATTTCTTTGCCACTTTATTTGCCAGGAATTTTCGTCTGTTTTATTTCGAATTTTTTTTTTCCTGAAATACAAAAACAACAACAAAATAGCATGGCCCTTTCTTTTTCATCAATATTTCATTTTTTTCTTGTGTTCCATGTTTATTCAGGCATCCATAAATTTCGTTCCGATTTTTTTGTCATCTGTGTTTGTTTTTATTTTCACATGAAGAGGGGACATTTCTGTGTGTGTGTGAGTGTGTGTCTCCGAAATAAATACAACAAAAACATCCTCCGTTGTCACAACAAAAGTCATCCTTGGCGTGTCTGCATCCTTTTTTGCACGGCGGTGCTTGGCCAATTGTTTGTGTAGTTTTTCTCTTGGAATATTTGTTGTATTATCTCGATGCCTTCTTGTAATTTGTTTTTCGGTTACGTTTTTCTCCAGCCTTTCCTTTCCCGCCCTCGAATTCAAAGAAATGCCGTGAAATTTATTGTTTTGTCATCTTTGGCAACACCGAAACAAGAACACTTCTCACAAAACAAAAAAAAAACGTTGGTCTGGGGACCTCCCCATACGTGGTCCACACGAATTTCTGGGATATGGGACAAATGAAAAAATGTTTCCATTTCCTACAAAAAAATTCGGTTGTGGTGTAGCCTCGACAAAATAAAACAAAAAAAAAAAAAAAAAACAAAAACCAATGAT